TTTGTCAAAACTCCTATTCAATATTGTTTGGGAAGTCTTAACCAAATCTAAAAGGCAAGATAGGTAAATCAAAGAAATCCAAATTGGCAAAGAGGAAGTAAAGCTGTGTATAGATGATATGATCATATACATAGAAAACCCCAAAGACTCAGCAAAAATAAACAAAACAAAAAACTACTGAAACTCACTGAAAATACAGCACAGTGGCAGGGTACAAGATCAACATACAAAAATCAGTTGGATTTGTCAGTTCTAATAATGACCGTGCTGAAAAGGATTTTAGGAAAGCAATAACATTTACAACAGATACACAAAGGAAGAAATATTCAGGAATAAATGTTAACAAGAGAAACAAAGAACCTATAAAAGAAAACTACAAAACACTACAACAAGAAACCAAAAGAGACTTATAAAAATGAAATAATATACCATGTTCCTGAATAGGAAGACTTAACATTGTGAAAATGTCAATACTACCCAAAGCAATCTACACATATAATGCAATCCCAATCCAGATTTCAACGACATTCATTAGAAAGATATAAAAAACAATTACAAACTTTATATGGAAAGGAAAGACAACCAGGATAAGTAAAGCACTAGTTTAGAAGAATACAATTCGAAGCCTCTCACTCACTGACTTCAAAATTCACTACATGGCTACAGTGGTCAAAACAGCCTGATACTGCTACAATGAACGATACATAGATCAATGGAACAGAATTGAGAGTAACCCATCCACATACAACCAATTGATCTTTGACAAAGGGCCAAAATACATTGAATTGGGAAGACACAGTCTCTTAAACAGATGGTGCTGGCAGAACTGGAAATACATATGCAAAAGACTGAAAAAATAAGACCTTTACCTCACGCCATATAAAAAACCAACTCAGTATGGATTAAGGACCTAAATGTGAATTCCAGAATTATAAAGGTCATCAATGACAAATTAGGGACAAATTTAATGGTTCTGCTACAGGGCACACACATTCTACGAAACATTGAGAAAATTATACAAACAAAAGAAGAAAAAATATATGATTAGGGAATTCTAAAAATTAGAAATTTATATGCATCAAAGGATTTCACCAAAAGTGTAAAAAGGGAGCCCACAGAATGGGAAAACATCTTTTGCAATGACATATCAGTCAAGGGACTAATTTCTAAAATCTATAGGAAACTACAATACATCTACAAGGAAAAGACAGATCACCCAATTAAAAATGGGCACAGGATATGAACCGACACTTCATCAAGAAAGAGATTAGGCAACCAACAAGCATGAAGAAATATTCATGATCATTAGCCTTTAGAGCAAGCTAAATCAAAGTAACAATGTGATATCGTCTCGCACCAGCAATAACAGCGAAGTTCAAAAAAGCAGAGGGCAATAAATGCTGGCTAGTATGTGAACAGACTGGGACCCTCCAACACTGCTGGTGGAAATGCAAAATGGTCCAACCACTCTGGAAAACAAGACAGTGCTTCCTCAGAAGGTAGGAAAAAGAAATACCGTATGAGCCAACAATTCCTCTACTTGGTATATAACCACAAAAAAATGGGAGTCATAACACAAGTAGATATATGCACACCAATGTTCATAGCAGCACTATTCACAATAGCAAAAAGATGGAGACAGCCTAAGTGCCCATCAATGGAAGAAAGGATTAACAAATGTTGGTACACACACACACAATACTACCTATGCTACCTTGAAGACTAACAAGGAAGTTGCAAGCCACCGCGTAACATGGATGAATCTTGAAGACATTATGCTGAGTGAAATTAGTCAGTCACAAAAGGACAACTCCTGCATAAGACCATTACTGTAAAAGCTTTAGAAAAGATACCCATACTAAAAGGGAAAAAATAAATAAATTCTTTGTTGGTTACCAGTGCAGGTGGGGGAGGGGGTTGAACACTGGAGGGAGGGGATGGTAGGGCACAAGGTAGTGGGTAGACACATCACAGTTTCGGTGTTGGGTCGGGCAAAACACAAGAAGGGGGAGGAGAGTGGAAGATGAAGGAAGATAGGGGAACCCTGAGGCAGGTTTGCATGGGCTTAATGTGAACTCTGGTAGCGTAGTGGTTACAAATCGGGCTGCTAACCTCAAGGTCGGCAGTTCGAAACTACCAGCGGTTCCACGGGAGAAAGATGAGGCGATCTGCTCCCGTAAAGATTTACAGCTCGGAAACCCTGTGCAAGGTCACTATGAGTTGGAACTGACTCCACGGTACTTAACAACAATAAGTAAATCTTGGAACAACAGGGCTCTGTGATATAGCGATCAAGTCATAGTCTGAAGAGGGGAAGTAATGTTAAAATGCTTTACTGACATATGAACATTGGTTTCCCTTACCTACTATTGTGAAATACACACTTGAGTGGGATAGAAAGGAATGAAGGGAAACATGATGACAGAAAGTTTGTTAGCCAATATTCAGCTTGTAACTGATTGGAATACCTAAAAGGTATTCTAGAACTTGCCCAGTTTAATAGGCCTCTTGTGGAGCCTTTGCAGTGAATAGGACCTTAGATGGAATTCTGAGCCCCATCTTGAACCTTCTGAGGTGGGTCATTCCCACTAGAAAGGACAAGAAGTTGAAACAGCTAGAGCAATACAAGATACATCTTCAAAGAAATATCAGCAGGAAATCTCCAAAACAAAAATGGCAGTATGCTTGGCTACTACAAAAACAAGCAAGTTATTCACCAGGGAGCCATCAAGTCCCTTAAGGACAAACTCCCCTTTAAGACTGAAACTCAATGAGAGAACACATGAGCAGGCATGTAAGCTTGCTGGTGACTGTGTTGGTCTACTGATGAGTAGAAGAGGGGGAAAAGAAGAAATGAAGAAATGGGCCGAGCTCAACCACGTTCCATAGACTCTAGTTGACCTGGAGATAAGAGAGATGAGGAAGGGCTGGTTGGTCCGAAGTGTGGTGAGACCTGGGGACTCCTGAGCCCATGGACAAGGACATAGTCACAGAGGGCTAGAGCTGAGAGTGAAGCATCCAGCTGATATGAAGTGATGGGAGATGAACAGGAACACCCTAACTTGCAGATAATACCCATTTAACCTAGCCTCGATGGCTTGATAATCAGAAGTTGACTTGCTGTTGGTGTTAGGTGCTACAGAGTCAGTACCGACTCATAGCGACCTTATGCACAGCAGAACAAAACACTGCCCAATCATGGGCCAACCTCACTACTGTTGTCACGCTTGAGTCCATTGATGCTGTCACTTGGCCAAGCCAACTCATTGAGAGTCTTCCTCTTTTTCTCTGACCCGCCACCTTACCAAACAGGATATCCTTCTCCACCAACTGGAGTAAACTGTGGTCATAAGATTCAAAATGGCCAGTACCAGTCCATTTCAGCTCACTAATGCCTAAGATATCTATGTTTATGCATTCCATTTCATTTTTTACAACTTCCAATTTTCCCAGATTCATACTTCGTACATTCCATGTTCTGATTTTCAATGGATGTTTACAACTGTATCTCTTCATTTTGAGTTGTGCCCCTATCAGCAATGAAGGTCATGCGGGCTTTTCTCCCATGGGCTTTGCTCCATTCACATCATCACGGTCAACTCTACTTTGAGGAGGCAGCTTTTTTTCAGTCACATTTTGAGTGCCTTCCAACCTGAGGGGCTTATTTTCCAGCACCATATCTGACAGTGTTTCTCTGTTATTCATAAGGTTTTCAGTGACTAGAGGAAGATAAAATAAAACAAAACAAACTTTTTTTTATAAAGGAAACTAGTGTAAATTGCTACTATTTGATGAACTTGACCTATACGTATGAATGGAGTAGTTCAAAACACCAACAGAGAGGGAGAAGTCTGCACATCATGTATCAATCCTAACCCCTCTGTGTACAGGGTAGATAGAGATGGGCCACTTAGGCATTTGCTACCTAAAATGAGGGGGCAATAAAGGCACAAAATGACTGGCTAACAAATTTTCAAGAGAGAATTTAGTTTAAGAGTATTCAGGGGAAGTACATTGTCCACTGAATAATTTTCATCTTGTCTAAATGCATCTGGTGAAAAGAGATGGGGATAAGATTGTTATGATTCAACAGTGAGAAATTTTTATGATGACCAATTATGACTGTCACAATTGTAAAGGTAGAAGTTTTGTAACAAAAATGGAAGAGTAGTTAATCTTATAGTACAGAAACAGAGGACCCTAGGACCATTAAGGGAGAAGAGCACAAGCAAAATGCGGGACCTTATCCAAAGAAGCAGCTACACCAGATATGGAGGCAGAGATAAGGACACGGAGAGAGGGAGCAGCATGGAGGAGATTGTAATCATTACAATGAAACAGTGGTGTAAAGCTGATGTTATCACATATAAACTATCACTCACTTCACAATAAAAACTTATTTTTAAATGTGAATGTGGAACCATTCACCTCCTGAATACCTTTTTGCTCAAATTGAGCTCTGGTGTGGCACTCTGGGTTAATGCGCTGGAATACAAAAGGTTAATTTTAAATGCAAGGTTAGTGGTTCAAGCTCACCAGTCTCTGGTTTCCGAGGATCACTACGATTGGGAATTGACTTGATGGTGCTTAACAGCAACAACACAAATCTACTTTGGGGGTGCACAATGGCTTTATACAATAAACACTGGACTGTAAACCACAAGGTCTTCAGTTTGAGCCTGCCAGCCACTTCACAGGAGAAAGATGAGGCTTCTGCTTCTGCTAAAGATTTAAAGCGTGGGAAAGCCTACACAGGGTTGATATGAATCGGAATCGACTCAACAGCACTTAACAATAACAATAATAATCTGCCACAACTAAACTGAGCTACCTTTCAAGTAAATAATCTGTGTGACCAAATAAACTATGTTTAGTTATTTTTTGTTGTTGTTTCTGTGTGCTATCGAGTTGGTCCCAACTCATAGCAATCCTGTATAAAGTTTCCGAGGAGAGGCTGGTGAGTTTGAACCCCAAAAGGGCAGTTCAAACCAATCTTGCAGTCCAATGCATTAGTATAGATATAGGAGATGCCACCCAAGTTTATATAGCATTCTTGGTTTACTTGTATCTCATGGAGAGTGAAAGTTGGCATGAAGTAAACTGTGTAGGATTACCAGAACTGCAGCTCATCTGCCTTGTTGGTACTGAGATAGAAGAAGGTTTACAGACAATAGTGCCTACCCCCTCAGTGTATCCTTCAGGCATAACAAGAAAAGGGAGATCTTAAAGGCATCTCGAAAATTGCAAGGTGACCCAGATTTGCTGATGTCAGTTACTTTGAACATAGTGGAGTCTGATTCCACAGTAGTCTATTATAAATTCACAGATGGATTTATGCTGCCAGACCCTCAGGATAGTTCACTTAGAAGATGACAACTATGCTTTCTATTGGTTACTTTGTTCACATGAAATTGGATTTGAGACCCATCCATTGCTTTATCGTCTACCTCACAGACAGGGTTGATTTAGCTGGCCCATTAACCATAAGTTTTCTTTCTGAAGAATAAACATTTCTAGGTAAAAGAATGTTTTTTATTAAAAAGTACAGAATCGTTGTTCTAGAACTTGCTTATCTGGAGACAGATGTAAGCCAAAGAGATGTTCAGAAAGATAGAACATGCGTTTCCTGTGTTATTCCACACTCACAGCTTTCTCTTTTCTTCATTAGTGTGCTGTTGACTTGTTGTTGTGTCTGCCGTCTCTATCCTTTACATAAGTCTCCCAAAGCCTGTTGGCTACTACATCTAGCTTCGTGTGGCATTCTTCTTTACTTCTGCCTGCTTGTTCATCTCAATTTGTTTTCATATTGCAGTTCCTCTTCTTTCTCTCTTTTGTTGACTTACAGGTTAAACTGAAATTATGTGCATCCGGAGTATAAATAATTATGTCTAAATTCATAGGGACCAGAAAAGTACTGGATTTTCTTTCTCAGTCTTATTACTACCACCCTTATTATATCATACCTAGAATATTACAAGACATAGTGTGGGATAGTAGTAGTCTTAAAGTATCTTTATTAACCAGACTGTTGTTCCCGTTTCATTAATCTCTCTCAATTAACTTGTCCAGAGTATGAAAAGTTGTATGCACATTACTTGTAATATGCCAAATAATCAACAACTTAAAAATTTTAGTAGTGAGATTAGAATTTTTTTCTTTTTTTTTAAAGGCTAGGTGGTAAATATTTTAGGCTTCATAGGCCATACAGTATAGGTCACAACTTCTCAATTCTATTATTTTTAGAGTAAAGGTAGTCACTGATCATATGTAAATAAATGGACATGTGTTTGTTCCAATAAAACTTTATAAATGCACAGCCATTATTTTCCAACCTCTGGTCTAAAGGCATGGGTCAGCCTTTAAAAAAATTGCTAATAGGGCCAGGTAGTAAATATTTGTCTTTGCAAATCTTATACAGGCACTCTTACATTCTTGTTTGTTGACAGTCCTTTAAAAGGTCAAAAAATTATTCTTCTCTAGGGAACTGTAAAAAATCAGATCTTGGCCCAAATTTGATCCATATTGCCAGCCCCTGGTCTACTAAAATAGCATACATACGTATATGTTGTTGTTAAGTGCTGTCGAATCGGTTTCGACTCAGTGAGCCTGTGTAGGGTTTCCAAGGAGCAGCTGGTGGGTTTGAACTGCTGACCTTGTGGTTTGCAGTCCAGTGCTGATTCTACAGCTCCACACCAGGATGGTGATGATGGTGATGTGCTGTGGAGTCAGTTTGATTCAAACCAACCAATTATAGGATTCTAAAATTTGTAACTCTTTAAGGGATATGAAAGTCTCTTAAAGTCTTCTCCCGCAGAGTGGCTGGTAGATTCAAACCGCAGACATTGCAGTTTGCAGTCTAACTCGTAACCTACTTACGCTACCAAGATACTCATCATAAATTAATAATGAATATTATGAAGATGTGTTAAATATTAAATGAAAAATCAAAAACAAAGGTACATGAATGGGTATGATTATGGCTAACACCCCAAGTATACAGTAGATAAATGATAAAGTAATTCAAATTGCTAACTGTGGTTGTATTAGGATCCCAAGGTAGTAAATGGATAACTTTGTCTTTTACTAATAATTTAGTTTCATTTAACCTATTTGTATTAGTTTTATAATAAAATGTTAAATAATTTTTAAAAATCTATAATTAATAAAAACATTTTTCTTTGTCATTTCTAAGTTTGGTGAAAGACTTATGATTGATTATATCTACTTATGTAGATATATTCATAAGTCTTTCATCAAACTTAGAAATGATAAAGAAAAATATCAGATTTTATTAATGATAGAATTAAAAAAATATATATTTAACAAAACCACTCATTTGTCAGTTTGTCATAATGTGGTAGCTTGTGAGTTGCTGTGATTCTAAAAGCTATGCCACGGGTATTTTAAATACCAGCAGGATCACCCATGGTGAAAAGATTTCAGATGAGCTTCCAGATGAAGACAGACTAGGAAGAGGACTGACAAAATAAATTTGAATATTTATTCACTGAAAACCTTATGAATAGCAGAAAAACACTGTCAGATACAGTGCCGAAAAATGAACCCCTTGGATTGGAAGGCACTCAAAATGCGACTGGGAAGAGTTGCCTCCTCAAACTAGAGTTGACCATGATGACACGAATGAAGTAAGCCCATGGGACTAAAGCCCATGGGACTAAAAGAGGACCTTCATTTGCTGATGGGGCAAAACTCAAAATGAAGACAAATAGCTGTAAACATCCATTAATAATCAGAATATGGAATGTACAAAGTATTAATCTAGATAAATTGGAAATTGTTAAAAATGAAATGTAACCCATAAACATTGATTTCTTAGGCATTAGTGAGCTGAAATGGACTGGTATTGATCATTTTGAATCCTACAACCACATGGTTCACTATGCTGGGAATGACACATTTAAGAGGAATAGCTTTGTATTCATTATCAAAAAGAACATATCCAGATCAGTCATGAGGTACAACACTGTCTATAATAGGATAGCTATCAACAATCACTGAAGCAGCAGTCAAGAGATCAAACGACGTATTGCATCAGGCAAATCTGCAGCACAAGACCCTTTTAAAGTGTTGAGGAGCAAAGATGTCAGCTTGAGAACTAAGATGCAACTGACCCAAGCCATAGTATTTTCAGTAACCTCATATGCATGTGAAAGCTGGACAGTGAATAAGGAAGACTGTAAAAGAATTGATGCTTTTGTGTTATGATGTTGGAGGAAAATATTGAAAGTGTCATGGGCTTCCAAAAGAACCAAGAGATTCATTTTGGAAGAAGTATAGCCAGAGTGCTCTGTGGAGGCAAGATGGCCAAACTTTGTCTCTCATACTTCAGACATATTGTCAGGAGGGACCAGTCGCTGGAGAAGGATATCATGTTTGGTAAAGTAGAGGGTCAGAGAAGGAGAGAAAGACCCCCAATGAGATGGATTGGCTAAGTGGCAGCATTGATGGACTCAAGTGGGCTGTGTTTTGTTCTGCTGTGCATAGAGTCGCTATGAGTAGGTATCAACTCGATGGCACCTAACAGCAGCAACAACTTGCTGAAAGTAAAGAAGACTTAAAATATTTACTGATGATGATCAAAGAGCACAGCCTTCGGTATGGATTGCATCTCAATGTAAAGACAGCAAAAATCCTCACCAATGGATCAATAACAACATTCTTATTAATGGAGAAAAGATTGAAGTTGACAAGGACTTCATTCTTTTGGATCAACTGTCAACACTCATGGAAGCAACAGTCAAGAAATCAAATGACGTATTGCATTAGGGAAATCTGTTGATTGCACAAAACCTTTTGAAAGTGTTGAAGAGCAAAGATGTCAACTTGAAAACTAACATGCACCTGACCCAAGCCATGGCATTTTCAATAACCTCATATGCATGCTAAAGCTGTACATTGAATAAGGAAGACAGTAGAAGAATTGATGCTTTTGGGTTATTGTGTTGGAGGAGAAAATTGAAAGTGCCATGGGCTGCCAAAAGAACTAACAGATCTGTGTTGGATGAAGCACAGCCAGAGTGCTCCTTGGAGGCCAAGATGGCCAATCCTCGTCTCTCATACTTTGGACATATTGTCAGGAAGTATCAGTCTCTGGAGAAGGATATCGTGTTTGGCAGGGTGGAGGGTCAGAGAAAAAGAGGAAGACCCCCAGCAAGATGGATTGGAAAAGTGGCAGCATCAATGGGCTCAAGCATGGCAACAACTGTGAGGTTGGCCCAGGATTGGGCACTGTTTTGTTCTGCTGTGCATAAGGTCGCTATGAGTCGGTACCAACTCGATGCCACCAAACAACAACAAACTATACCAAGCATGATGTCCTTTTTCAGCAACTGGTCCCTCCTGATAATATGTCCAAAGCATGAGAGATGAAGCAGTGGATTTAAAAAAAAAATTATTGTTTTACAATTTCTCATTTATCATGATGTTATATATATGCCCAGTGTGAGGATCTCTGCATGCTTTATATTGAGATGCAATCCATACTGAAGGCTGCAGTCTTTTATCTTCATTAATATTTTAAGTTCTCTTCATTTCCAGAAAGCAACTTTTTAACGTTTGCACTTCACAGATGGTTAATGAGTCTTTCTCCAATTCTGATGCCATGTTCTTCTTATAATCCTGCTTTTCAGATTATCTGCCCAATATACATTTTTAATAAGTATGATGAACAGATGCAACCCTGACCAGAACTTTCCTGATTTTAAACCTTTCAGTATCCCCTTGTCTTGTTCTAATGACTTCCTCTTCATCTATATAAAGGTTTCATGACCAGAACTAAGTGTTATGGAATACCCATTCTTCCCAATGATATCCATAATGTGGCATGGTTCACACAGGTGTGGCACTGTGGGTTAATGCGCCAGACTGCAAATCCATTTTAAATGCAAGATTGGTGGTTCAAGCTCACCAGCTGCTCCTCGGAAACCCTATACAGGGTCACTATGAGTCGGAACTGACTCGAGAGCACTTCACAACAACAACAACACACTTGAAAGCCTTTGCATTTTTAATCGTTTTAAACAAAATTTTACTTATATGTGATATTAATGACAATATTCTACAATTCCCACATTTCATTTGGTCACCTCACTCTGGAATGCTCACAAATATGGATCTCTTCCAATCATTTGTCTAGGTAGATGCCTTCCAAATTTCTTGGCATGGATCAATGCATCAAAATACATCAGTTTGTGGACAGATTTTAAT